TACTCGCACACATCCCGAGAAAACTTCCCAGGAGGTCACTTGTAACATCCCGGGCGCTTACGAGGGCGGGAGTGATCGCCAATGTGAAAGGGCACAAACAAGGAGCGGCTCCTGGCAGGCTTCTAGGGACGGGGGTACATGAATGAATCGAATCAACACCCGAAATAGAGGGATTCCAGAGACTGTGTTGGTATGGGACGGTATAGTTGGGAATAGCTTATAAGAATTAATTGGTACTACCTATACTAACAAGATGCATCTACTTTTCGGTAGCCCGGATCGGAAGAACTCCACAGTTAAGCGTGCTTGACTTAGAGCAATTCAGGGATGGGTGACCTCCTGGGAAGTTTTCCTGGGAAGTGTGCGAGTGAGGACAAAGCACGCTGAAAAGTCTCGTGTTAGTGTGTGGGGATAGTCATTGATGCTTACAAGTTGCCAGGCGTTACAGGAAGATCATAGTCTTTCTATTACAAAAGCATAAAAGGAAACAATAAGTCTTCAAGAAATCAATAATCATGTCTTCAACAAGTAAGCCTAAATCTTTTGGTGTTCTAACATCATATAATCTCATCTTGAAATTTCTTACATTGGGATCATGGGTTCTCCTATTTATATGGACTTCATTTAGCCCATTTTTAATTAGTGTTTAAATATGTCAATAATTGTGGCTATAAGCATAAGTGGCTAGTTGAACTGCTACCACGTTCTTTTCATTATAAATGTGGGAGACTTGTATTGCCTAAGGCTGACTAATAAGTTCTCTAATCCTACACACCAAAGGCGAGGAAGGATATATAGCGTGGAACAACCATGAGAGATGAATTAGATAGCCATCTTGGAGTTGCCCTCCAGCTTGACTTTTTGAAGTCAAAATTCCAAGCAAGTTCTAGATCGAGATAGGCACCGAACAACTCAACATTAAGTGAAGTTCCAATCCCTAATTTCTTTGAGAATCCATGAAGCCATCTACCGAAGCAATTCCCGATCACTTTCCATATCCAATTCAACTATCGTCATCAATGTTGGAAATCGACAATCACACAGAATCGAGAAAACAGAAAAAAAGAGATAAGAGTAGAGAGATTAGACACAACGATTTACCCTGATTCACCATATAGGCTACGTCCATCTTGTCTGTACTATATTCACCTCACTGCCACTCGTTACAAGTTTCTCGATTTACAAGACAAATATAAATAGGATTACAAAACCCTAACAACAGCTATTCATGGGTCCAAGCCCAAACTGCTAAGAAAATTACAATAAAACAGAGGCCCACAACAGTACCTAGCCTCTACGGGCCTGGGGGCGCTGCCCCCTGGACCCTCGTCCGCTCACCTGGGAGCGGAACCCCAGTTGCCTTTCTGCTGACCCCGATAATTAGGACCCTCATCAGCATGCGAAGTATGAGTCATACCCAACAATCAACACAAAACCCACCAGCATTAACTTTTATCCAGCCCAAACCCAGAAACTCCCACTCAATCAATTTTTTCACTCGTTGAAGAGACAAGCTTCCTTAAGAAAATAATATCATAAAATAATATCATAAGCCTTGTGAGTTATTGTTTCGTGGCTAAGACAAACACCATAAAAAATGAATTTATTTCGTTAAAGTCTAAATGATCTAACAAAGAACACCAAAATGCAAGCACTAATGTTGGTCTCCCATCGTACACACATGACCTAATAAATTATCCATGAGTTAGTCCTTTAAGGGTTGAATGAAAAAATTAGAAGTGCTAAGCTTGTAAATGGGGTAGACCCATAAGCAATCCCTGATGGCATGGAGGCGATCTTCCTTTACCACACCAGACCGAGGGGTATAGGTTGGAAGCAGACATGTGACAACGCACTCTCTTACCCTTTGTAAAGAGTTAACTTGACCCACCAAAAGCCTGAGATACGTTCTTATATGTTGGGGTCCTTTCCAAGTCCACACTTGTTTCCAAATGAAAGCATGAGCATTGTGCACAAGAAACTTATAAGCAAATCTTACGACAAATATCTCATCACTTGAATTAGCCCAAAATCACTTTATCCTTCTCATTAACATTCGTTGAGGGAAGAACATTTGCAATGTTGCTCACTATAGAGTATGAGATAATATACTTAAATCTATCCTAGTCCCAAGTACCTTGTTGCATGACAAACATGCTCACTCACAATCCAATCCATTTGCTCTACTAGTACAAGTTGGGTTACACACAGTGGACCCACTTGCGGGCAAACAAGCAACACAGGAACCAGATACGAGTTTCTTAAACCACTTCCTAGCCGCTGAGAGTCCGGTGAATTCGTGGTTATTGACAGGGGGTTCGGCATTAGAAATCAATGTCGGAGATGGATCATAAATTAGTAACTGCATTCAATCTCCAAAAAAATCCCAATTGTTTCGAATAGTCTCCACTACCCTTTCGAGACTGGGTTTCTCCCCCCAACCTTACTAATAGAAAGGGGAAAGCTCAAGCATGCGAAGAAAGCTCGACCACTACATAAGCCGCCATCAGTGCAGGAGAGAAGCAAGCTACCTCATAAACAATTTTATTTCAGTTTTTTTAGTTGCAGGTCTTTATTTGTCACTTGGTTCAATATATATATGAGAAGTAAATACCATTTTAAGTCCCTAGTAAAAAACATGATCCCTATTTTAATTTCTTACAAAAAAAATTAGTCTCGAGATCCCTAAAAAAATTAAAGTGAATCAATTTAGTTAAAATCGTGGTCCCTCACAAATTCAAAAAATACATACATGTCCCTCAAAAAGACCAAAATTGGTCCACTTTGAATTTCATAGGGACCAGGTAACTAATTTTTTTTATAATGGACTAAAGTGGGGACCAAATTTTTTTTTAGGGACGAAAAAAGATATTTATTCTTATATTAGTTAGCAACGTACAGAGATGATTAAAACAACGTAGCAGCGCAAATTGATTAGAGAGAAAACTTATTATAAAAAGAGAGGATTGATTGCAGGTCTGACATTCTCAGATAAGTTAATATCTAGAGACGAGGTCTTCACTGTGATTTTGCTTGCCTTATGTACTAGTAGTGTTGACTTTTTTATTCACCACTATAAAATAGAATGATGATGTATGGTAAGATTTAGGGGAGAAATAATTGGTCAAACTATTACCTGCAGCTTGTTATGAAAGCAACTAGATTATGAGCAGGTTTAAGCGTTGATTTAAACTTTTTTTACAAAAAAAATTTTGGGGCAGCTGTCTCCGAACTTCCACCACTAAATGTGCGAACATAAATTTTTTTTCTTGGATCCAGCAATGGCTACACACCAATGAAGGGAAGGGGCACCAGGAATCCAAGGGTCTAACTAGAATCTTGAAGTACTACCATTACCAAGCAGAATCTTCAACCCTGCAAGAAGGTCCAACCAAACTTTCATCAGACCATACTGCAAATTAGAAGAATGAGAAACCCGCAAAATGCAAGGGATGAGATCCTCTACTAACCCATATTTTTCACGTACGACTCTTGTCCAAAGTTCGTTTCTAATTGTAACCACTTTAAACCCTATTTTCATCATGAACACCAGATTCATTTCTCGCATAGGCCAACCTCTACTAACCCATATTTTTCACGTACAACTCTTGTCCAAAGTTCGTTTCTAATTGTAACCACTTTAAACCCTATTTTCATCATGAACACCAGATTCATTTCTCGCATAGGCCAACCTGAACCCTAGCTAGCTTCGGTATATAAACAATACTCCAAGAAAGAATGTGAGGTTTTCTGTAGTCCACGGTCGAGTCCCACAGAAAACTTAATGAGACCTTCTCCACCTCCTCACAAGCACCTAGGGGGAGATAATTTATTTTAAAAAATATTAGTGTTTAAAGTTTTTATACAAATATTAATAAAGTTATTAATACCCTAATCTTGAGCAAATTTTATTACAATTAACTGAATTAAGTTCTCATTCTAGTAATATTTTCTCTTTTAAGGTAGAGAATGAAATTAAAAAAATAAGTTACTTAGGATGAAGTAGAGAAAAAAAGTTATAAAAATCAATTACTATTTACCACATTTTTTCTTACTACATTTTACAACCATTTTGTTATGTTTGAATTAAAATAAAATTAATGACTCTCACTTGATGCAATTTTATAACCATTGATTTGATTTTGATTCAAATATATAAAAATTAGTCGTAAAAGGTGATAAGAAAAAAAACATCATAAATATAATCTCTGCCTTCTATTTATTAATATAATACTAGAAAATTGACTATCAACATTAAAACCACCATATTTGTTGAAAAGGAAAAATCAAAACCAAAATTAAAAACTTACTTATGGTCGTTATGGATATGCCTTGAATTAGGTTTATTGAATTATTGTTTTTCCCCCTCTTTTCGATTTGTTTTGGGTATACCAGTCAAGCACACAGCATTAACAGCCAACAATTTGCTGGGGCACGACTCATATCGTTCCAGTACAGTTTCCGTGCGATACATGTTTTATTGTCTATAGTTTTTTATTAGTTCATACAAAATATATGTATTAACATTTATAAATTTTGATATGTAACAACACAATTTATTCTAATATTATTTAAAATACATTGCTATAATTCAGCAAAAAAATAAAATAAGATATTGTTACGAATTAATAAATGAATGATGCGATTTGTAACTTCTTTTATTAGTTATGAATATTTGATATTTCACACTTACCATAGTTTTTTTTTTTTTTTTTTGGATAAGTCACTTACCATAGTTATGAATATTTCACACTTACCATAGTTATTAATATCTAATCTTCTTTTAAAAAAATAAGTATAAATTGAAGCTAATTAAGAATTTAAAACTTTGGTGTCATATATGCAAAGATTAATTAAGTTGAGAATTATTATTTGATTCAAGAACTAATTAAGAAAAATATTTTTGAAATAGAAAAATCTAAATGAAATAAAAAAACTAAAAGTCACAAGAGAGCTTGACACGTGATTCAAAATAATAATAAAAAAGTTCATATTTACATCATTACACAAAAGTTAACTATTTTATGTTAGAAGACTCGATGTCGCAAGAAGGAAAGGGAAGGAATGGAAAGAAAGAAATTGAGAAGCAGAAATGCGCAGTGATGAAGTGATAGTGTTGTGGAAGCATAACAGTAAGAATGTTTTCTTCCTATACTCTCTTCTCTTAAGGCCAATTCACTTTTGCAGTTTTCCATTTTCGTTTTTTTTTTTTTTTAATTAGGGTTTTCTTTTTCTAAGATTTCTGAATACTTTAGATCCAATAACTGTTTGTTTACGACAACTCAGGTTATCCAAGAGGTGATTTTGATTCTTAATGAGATTCAGGTTTAGGTTTTAGAAACCAACACCATAACCATGAACAATAATCCAGCAAAGAATGCTGCTACGCCGTCGTTTTTGGGCAATTCGGGAACAACCTCGATCCCCATTAACCACCCACCACAACCAACCCATCTTTTATCACAGTCACAGCCTCAAACCCAAGGTGCTTCTCACTTCCCTGGTCACTTTCAGCTTTCGCAACCCCAAACCCAGGTGCTTGCACAACAACCTCAATTTGCACACCCTCCTCAAACGCAGCAGCAGCAGCATCAGCAACCTGTTAATCAATTGCATAACAATGTGATTGCTAATACGAATGTGGCTACTACTACAACTGCAACTGCAACTGCAACTGCCAAGCGTGCAACTCAGAAGCCGCCTTCTCGGCCTTCTGGTTCGTCCAATGCTAACCAACCCTCACCCTTTAAGACCATGGAACTCACCCCGGCTCCTCCACGAAGGAAGAGGAATTTGCCGGATAAACAAATACCGGAAAAGGTGGCTAAGCTTCTGCCTGAGTGTGCTCTTTATACTCAGTTGCTTGAACTTGAGGCTCGGATTGATGCTGCTTTAATTAGGAAAAAGATTGACATACAGGAGGCTGTTAGAAACCCTCCGCATGTTCGGAGAACTCTTCGTATTTATGTGTATAATACCTTTTCAAATCAGGATAAGAAAAATCTAGAAGAGCCTCCTTCTTGGTCCCTTAGGATAACTGGAAGGATATTGGAAGATGGTAAGGATCCTGTGGCTGCGGGAATTTCTCAGACTGCGAATCCTTCTTACCCAAAGTTTTCGGCTTTCTTCAAGAAAATTACCATATACTTGGATCAGGGCTTCCATCCGGATAATCATGTCATTGTGTGGGATAGTGCTCGTTCGCCTCTACAACGAGATGGTTTTGAGGTGAAGAGGAAAGGAGACAAAGAATTCACTGCAGTGGTTAGAATAGCGATGAATAATTCGCCTGAGAAATTTATGGTTTCAGCACAGCTGTCTAAAGTTTTAGGGATTGAGTTTGATACTCGCCCTAGAATTATAGCTGCTCTTTGGCACTATGTGAAGTCCAGGAAGTTACAGAGCCCAAATGACCCTTCATTCTTCATGTGTGACGCTTCTCTCCAAAGGGTGTTTGGAGAAGAGAAAATGAAATTCTCCATGGCTTCACAGAAGATATCACAGCATTTGTCTCAACCACAGCCTATACACCTGGAGCATAAAATCAAGCTTTCTGGAAATTGTCCAGCTGGAACTACATGTTACGATGTGCAGGTTGATGTGCCTCTTCCACTGGAGAAGGATATGTCTGCGTTTTTGGCAAGCAGTGAGAGGCACAAAGAGTTTGATGCTTTTGATGAAGTGATTTGTGCTTCAATAAAGAAGATCCATGAGCATCGTAGGAGACGAGCTTTCTTCCTTGGCTTTAGTCAGTCTCCAGCAGAGTTTATTAATGCTTTGATTGCTTCTCAGAGCAAGGATCTAAAGCTTGTTGCTGGAGATGCCAGCCATAATGCTGAAAATGAACGGCGTTCTGAATTCTACAATCAATCATGGTAACCACTATACTACTTTACCTATTTTCTTTTGTGTTGTGAGGCATGCATGAATATTATTCAATTTACATCATGGTTGGCTACCACCTTACTGTTGGTATTTATTTTCTAATATTGGGAGTTGAAGAGTGGGACAACCTTTGAAACAGGAACTTCAAAAGGAAGCTGTATCCGTGTCAAAAACTAAATTTAGTTATGAAGCAGCACTTCAAATAGTACTTAAATACTTCACATTTCTCACTCTATGCTTCTTACATGGTAACTTATAGGAGATGGATAAGCCTCCTCTAAAGTGTGCAAATAAGGGTATTTACACCCATGATTTGATTTAGTCCGTCGTCATTTTAACCTACTAAAATTTAAAGGTGGATACACTCTTACTTGCTTTAGAGACAAACTCACTTTAGAGGCTTTTTTTCCACATTATATTACTATTTTATTGCTTCTACTAAGTTCTGTTTGTGCTTTGAGATGATTCAAACATGAGTCAGAGGCTGCGAAGTGTCCAAGTCTGATTTGGTGCATGAGGTAGTAGGGAATCTAGATGTAATATTATAGCAACGGAGATTAAAGTGAGGAGTCCTAGTCATTTGGTATTCATAATAACAGAGCAACAATGAAGAGTAAAACTGGAAGATACGACCAGGATGTCCTGTATCTTTTGTTCATTTGATGTAATATAGGGCCATCAAATATATATTGGATGAGAGATTTGATCAAAGCTGTTTCTAATTGGTTTGTGTTCTTTTATTAATATTTCCAGGATTGAGGATGCTGTCATTCGCTACCTGAACCGGAAAACTGCTCGAAGTGATGCTCCCGGAGGCGTCTGAGAGAAAATTGTGAGATAGTTTTTTTTTTTTTTTTGGAGATGAGGGGTTGATTTTCTGATATTACTCGATGGTCTTCTTCAGTTTTGGAGGGGAGTACTAGTACAGTATATTGACTCAAGAATTTTGGTTACCCCTGGCTCATTTTTGGAGTCCCTCAACCATATTTTGTATCTATTGATTCTCATGTGCTTATCTTATCGCCTATTCGAATATGTTAAAATGAGGCAAGGTCTGTTATCAAAAAAAAAAAAAAAAAAAAAAAAAAATGAGGCAAGGTCAACGATCTAATAGCTTACGAAGCATCAATTACAATCTTTGTGTTAGTATATTTAATGTTATGGGTTGGAACTTTACCTTGTCCTTTTTTTTTTTCCTGGTACGTAGAGTATCTCATGTAGCCAAAAATAGTGAATGATCAAATTAAAATTGCAAGGATAGGTCAAAAGTCGCCCCTGCACTTCAAGAAACTACATTAGACTTTATGCACTTATAATCATCGACTTGTTCTCCTCTGGGCCGTAGCCATTTAGTTCTGCATACCTTTGATAGTTTGATAATCTACAACAAATTCATGGCTCGGTTATTGATGCGTTAGCAATCATTAAAATGTTTCACGGGTTTTATGTTTATCATGTAACATAACACAACTTTATTTTTTTACACACATATTAAAGAGGTAGGGTTTACATATTTTTTTTTTCTCTTTTATCATTCTACTTTTTCTCCCTTTTGATGTGTGTTGGAAACAAAACTTAAGTTACGGAACATAACATTAATAAAACTTGTGTTTCACTTTGCAAATATTTGTTGAGATGTTAATGCACCTGTAAACGTGCTTGACGGTTCATTTGTCACTCGCCAGTAAGAAAATATAAAACAAATGTCCGTCTTGTTCTCTAGCCGCATTTCCAATAGAGCAGCCTGCAGGGGGACTGTATAACACTGAATGCTCTTTATGCCCGTTTTCCTCTTCCAATAATAATATGAAGATAATGAGTCTAGTCTGGCTGTACTCGGCACTGGCTTGTAATGCCATTATTATTATTATTATTATTTAGGAAATTTCTCTACTGATTCATCGAGTCGGATATCTATCTTTATTAAATTTTGAAAAATGTTCAATAATCCCCTTATGGTTTATTTTTTTATCACTTGTATCATTATGAATTTTTCCATCCAAGTCTATTCTTAACACTGTTAAAAATTTGATTAATATCTATATTTTTCCCTTGTTAAAAACATCTATTACAGTTAAACATCCCATCAAAAATGCTAAGGACATAAAGTGTACACATCTCAGGATTCAAAATTGAATTCAGCTATCTGTTCCGGTTCTAGTTCATGGGCTTGTATAGAATACAACAACTTTAAATGACGTTATTGAATTTTACATAAATTCATATGTTTGGGCATTGGTGGAGCTATATGGTAGTCAGTTGATGCCTAATTTTTAAAAATGGCACAAATTTTCTTTAAAAAAATATGATACAACCTTAATTTTGATTGAATTTTTAAAAATAATACAACATTGATACTAGCTTAATTTTACATAATTGGATTTTTTGGAACTGGGCCGAGTTTTCTTGCTGACTCCGCCCTGTGTTTGGGATAAAAATTCTAGTGCAACTGAAGGAATATGTTCTAAAAATTCATTCACAAAGTCAATCTTTGACAAGCCCAGCTGCATTCTCCCTCAGAATCCACGCTTTGTCTCTGTCGTGACTGCATTCTCACTCTTTTAACACCAATCTTTTAACTACCAACCATTTCTCATTCTACATTGTTTCCCTCCGGTTCTTTTTATTTATTGATCTCGATTTCCCATTTTTGCTAGGGGCACTTTAGATCCCTGCTATGGATCACAGGTATTCTGACTTTGTAAATAATGGAAAAATTGTTTGTCATATCTTTTCACTCTCACAGAAAGGTGGGACCCACATTTTTATATTTTTTTGTCTACTCTCTATTTCTTTATCTATTTCTTTCTCTCATTTAAAATAACACAACTTTACATCCTTTTAAATGATACACATTTCCCCCCTAAATGATTCAACTGCCAATCCTCAACAGATAAGCGTACTAATAGGAGCAATGATTCGAAACCTAAGAGTAGTAAACTCCAATCTTTGTCTTCTTGTACACCATGCCTGTCTAAAAAGGACCAGGTTGCTAAGGACAACGAGGACTCTAGTAAAACCAAGGGAAAACAAGTTTTAAAGAATCACCTGCTAGGAGCAAGGCTTCATCTAGTGATTCTAGTCATAGAACAATAAGCCAGAATTCAAAGATTCATGAACATAACAATATTGAATGTTCTGGATCCAGCAAGAGTAACACTCAGAAGCCCACTTCATCTGATGTTGAGAAGGAGAAATTGATGACTCTATTTTCACAGAGACTAGCTGAAAAATCAATTGAGGAACGCCCCATACACCTTATTAGATGCAATATAGGAAACGCTTTTAACAAGGGCAAAATGGAAATATTAATCAAATTTTTAACCGGAATGGAAAAAATCATATGAGTGTAAGTGATAAAAAATTAAACCATAAGGAGATTTTTGAACTTTTTCCTTAAATTTTTAATATAATTATATACCTAGGATTGATCCACATGCTTAAGGGCATAATTGCATTATTTCTAGTCTAATAAAAGGGAAGGTTGCAGTTCGTGTAATGCTGCAATGCATGGCGACTATTTTGCGTACTTTATAATAAAAGGAGTTGTTCTTGGTATTTTGATATAAAGATCTCACGAGGGACTATCTTCGTGTCTTGATTTATGAGCTGTAGGGTATTCTGGGGTAATGCATTGGTTGTTGCATGTGGGCAAGAAAGAAGGAGTGAACCGAAAGAGTAAAGAGGGGGAAGTGCTATTTTTCAAAACCCAAAATTTCCTTAAATTAGGGATTAGGGAGCGAAAAAGGATAATGCTTTACGTAATACTTATTAAATTACATTTATATACCCTAAATTTATTATAAAATTAATTGTTTTTTAAACTGAAATTTTCATATTGTTTTAACAGAAACCCTTGTGACCTTTAGATTCTAGTCTTATATTAACATCCTCTTAAATGAGCTAATACATATCAATATGTTTCAAGCCTTAACACTATCTAATAACCAAGTTTTGTTTTTACTGCATCTTTGTATCCTTTTATTTTTAACCAAAAGCTTGTGGAAAGATATTTTTTTAAGCTCTTAATAGCTTTTCTTAAATTGTATACTTTTTTTGAAATGAAAAGCCATAGAAATAGAAAGGAAGAGACTTTTCTTGAAATGTGTACTTTTAAATAATTTTAAACTAAAATTTTTATATAATCACCAAAACTTTTAGTTTTTTTTTTAACTTTAGTTTAAAAATAACTTCTAGCTTTAAAAAAAAATCTAAATAGGCTCTCAGTAAAACACGTCTCACAAACTTTATTAAATAATTCTGAAAACTAGTTAAGGTCAAAATCTCGTACAAATAACATTGTAGATTTGATTATATAATTTACCCCTTTCATCTCTTTTATTTTTAGGAGTTTGCATCTATCATGTCACATGACACAAAAAAATTTCTTACACACACAACATTTTGTGGGACCCGCACTTTTTGAAACAAAAAAAAAACTAAAGCACGCAAAACGAATCTCTATAACATTACACAATCATTTTTCCTACGACATAACTCTTATAAAACCCTTATTTTTAACACCCAAACATGGTAACATAGTTCCATTTGCCTATTCGGCTATTTTTGTCTGCCTCTCCGTTTCCTTCTCCTATTCCAGACTCGTAGATGTCATATTTTCCATCTGTTTGTAATATGAAACAGCCGTTCACATAATGCATGGCCTCACGGGAAACGAAGTTATGGTTGTTGAACTTTCACACTGTAGTTTTCCCACTAGGGGAAAACTAGAAAACCCAAATCAGCTTCTGGCTCGACGAAAACCATTTAAACGTTTTTTCTTTGGGAAAAAAAAACGCAATAGCCCACTTGATATTATTACTGACCGTTAGATGATTGGTACAATGATAATAATGCAAGAGATACAGATACCAAAGGTCATATAAACCGTTACATGGCTAACTTAAGAGATGGGATAGAATGAGAATAGACGCAAATAGTGAACGTAAATTGTATAATACACGCCCAAGTACCTCTAAAGTGACAAAAAAAACTGATACGCAAATTTCCTTAAAATAAACTATAAAATTTTAATGATGATACATGATTGACAAAAAATGGAACCAAACTTAAAAAGGGAAAAATATCTGTCATTTTAAATGACATAAAAAAGCCAGCATTGGGAAAATTAATCATGCAATTGACCTCTACATACAATAGAACCATAAAACAAAACATACTTAATGCTGACACTCGTGAAACAATAGTACCAAAACGATAATATTCAAATGTAACTGCAACTTGCACTAGTTATATATATTAGTGCCAGATCCTAAGTTACATTAAGAAGAAACACTAACTACTCTTACATTGGATTCTTAATGAGCAGAGTATTCCTCCTCCATACTACACTTAAACATTTGCATCTTTAAGGCGCGTAATAAGCTCCTCCTACAGATTTTATTTCGCGCATTGGTAAGGCAAACACCAAAATGTATAATCAAGTGAGGAAGCAAGTACTCTTGACAATATTCAGATATTAGTTGACAAATTATATCATTGTGATATATATGAACTACTAGTAAACAAAATACTATCAAGCAAACTAGGGCAAAAGCACCATAGTAAGATTAATTGGTAAGCACATTTGATATGTTTTGCCATGGTAATGCAGTCAAACACGCACGTGGCAAGTACGAGATTAGTCCCGCATGATTTCAGCAACGTCCACGTCAGTCCAGCATGAATTAAATACGGGACTTGACAAGTTGATTTTAAAAGCCAAACCAAATACACTGTGTAGTTGCACAATATTCCTGATAACTTTTTGACTTATAAAGGACTCTACATGTTGCAATTAACATTATATGGTGCTTTTGCCCAAACATAAATCAATTCTATTAATTTTTTTAAAAATTAATTATTTTAACATTAATTCTTTGAAAACCATATATATCATAATTTAAACTAAAAAGAACTCCTATCTTTCTTAAATTTGAATTTTAGTATTCATATTGAAACAAATTTTGGTTTACAAAATATAGATATCTTTAGCAAGACTTCAAAGTTCTCTGGTTGTCAATACCCATGCATCTATTGTAGAAAATACAAAATAATTAGGCAATAATTTATATAACCATATATTTAAATTTTGAGTAATTTATGAATTGTTGTTTTGGAAACTTAAAAATAAAATAAAATTATACATTATTGCGGGGGTTGTTTTATGAGGGAAAGGGGCGAGGAAGAGTAATCTAGCTTACACGTCTTATATATTACGGCAACTTTTTAGGTAGATCTAGTCTACGTAAAATTTGTGGACTGTAGAGTTTAGATCTGTTTTGTACAATGAGGCCAAATAAATTTTATGTAAGGTCCACTGCATAGAGCAAGTTTAGACCAAAAAGCATTTTTTTTTTTCAATTGAAGAGCCCATCAATTTTAGGCAGACTGAATCCACTAAAGAACCTCTCCTTTACTTACATGGCAAGTTTGGTTTATATTTTGCAACATGTAGAGTCCTTTATAAGCATAGTAGTTAATTGCGCCGCAATAGCGCCACGAGCCGCGCCGTATGGGCGTTGCGGTGCCTCGTCGCAAGAAACTGCGCCGCGCCACACCGGAACGCAATAGCGGCCATTGCGATCGCATTTGCGGCCATATTGCTGTCATAAGGCAAAATGTCAATTTTGTCCTAAATTTAAATGTGTAACAGATAAAATTTAAGGGTTTTTTAGTCTATCTGTGTCTGTCTCTGTCACTTCTGCTATCTCTTCCTTTAAAAATGTTTATTTTTGTCATTATTTCTGTCATATATCTATTCCGCTATTTCCGCAACCGCAACCCGCTATAACGCTATAGCGTTTCTCGGGGTTGGCCGCGAGATGCCGCAATCCGCATTTGATAACTATGTTTATAAGTCAAAAAGTTGTCAGGAATATGGTGCAACTACACAGTGTATTTGGTTTGGATTTTAAAATCAACTTGTCAAGTCCCGTACTTAATTCATGAGGGACTGGCTGACATGGACGTTGGTCCCGTACTGAAACCATGCGGGACTGATCCCGTACCTGCCACGTGCGCGTTTGACTGCATTACTATGGCAAAATGTGCTTTAACCGGGCAAATCTTTTACCAATTAATCTTACTATGGTGCTTTTGCCAGCAAACTAGTGATTGGTCTTTCATATGCCTGCATATATGTGCTGTCTCAATGCAACTTCTGAATGCATGTATGCTTAAATTGTAGAAATACTTGCCTTCTTTCCTTTGGTTGAAAGACCTTTAGATTTCAGAACAGCACGAAGCCTCTCTACAGTCAAGCTGTGGAAGTCCCTATTGGATGTTTGACTGTTTGATCCCTCTGTATGTTTAAAAGCCATAACAAGACAATATAAAATAAGTCATACTGAGATATACAGTAGAATACAGGTGGTCAAAACATGTCCAGCCATCTTACAATGTCATACTGTATGCTTGAACATACTAACATCAACTCAAATCCTTACCTATCACAACCATCTGAGTTAAGCTCAAGAGGCTGCTCAGCATAATTTATTTACAGTATAATTTTGTCGTATTATTTTATGGTGATGTTTTGGCATATAAAAGGTGCAAGTAGCTGTAAAGAGAGGGGAATAGGTGGCTAGTGGAGCATTAAACCTCCAATATGATCACACATCAAAGTCTAGTAAGAATTGGGCCATGCTAAGTGAGCAGTGAGCTACAAGCTCGTTGGCCTTATAAAGGTTATTCTAGGCTCACTTTAGATTCAACTGGTGACTTCAAATTATATAAATCAAACAAACATGAGATTGACATGTTGCACATGGAAACACTGAGATATATGAAAATCTGAATGGTTAAGGTCGTGTATCAAATCAACAAGCAGAAATGGGACTCCTATCATATTTTTCAAAAACAAGACTAAGGCCTTTGAGGTCTTTCCTAGGGGGATTTTGAATTTACAAGTACATACACAAGACCAACAACTAAATACAATTATTTTCCAGAACACAACTTAATATACAGTACCAAACATGATTTTGGTTGATATTAGTCAAAACAAATTCCTATAGTTTAGGATGCAATATGCACCTCATGGACATGGAAATTAAAAAGCAAGTTAGAAAATGACTGTTTACAATCCTTTCTGAACATTCTCACATTCCTTTGGTCTCTTTCACCTTTTTTTCAAACTACAAATAAAAGCATCCCTTCAAGAACACAACTTAATACACATTACCAAACATGATTTTGTTATCTGTTCTATCTCAAGAAAGAATAAACATTTTTGTCCTCAGCATCAACAGGTATGCATATAAGGGTGTAGGAAATTTAAGACCAAAATCTTGAAACATATTTCAGGCTTTACTCAATGCTTATGCATTACAAAGGTCATTTGAACCCACCTTGTCGAGAGTTCATTTGATTATTTGTTCTCTTAGCTGAAGCTCTGCTGTCCAGAACCTTTTCGGCAGCCCTGATAAAGAGTTTAATGAGAAAGGGTTCAATAACACTGAGCAAAGATAAAAATATAGACATTAAAGAATGGCTGACAGATGCCGTAACTTATTCACAAGAGAAGTTAAGAAGTAAACATAGAAACTTATCTCAGAAGTTTTTCACCAAACAGAGAAAATGCCAGCAAATTTATAGGGGATTTTGTTTATAGATTATATTGTACACTTGAAATATCACTCCTCCACAAAAGGTGGGAATAATACCTCTTCCTTGAACCATCAGATCCATCCTTTGAGCTTGAATCACCCCTTTGCTTCTTAAGGGTGAGTGATCTAATCAGTATGTTCTGTTGGTTTGTCTTAATATTTTGACCCTCTGGATAAACAAGAGAGTCAGAATCTCCATTTTACAACAATTATCTACTTTAAAAAACCACAAAAGATCTGCTAAACACAACACGTGCGCGCGCGCGCGAGATAGCTAGAATCTATGGGATGAAACCACAGTTTCGAAAAATATATATAATGGCATTATGACCAACAGGGTGGCAGGAGCTTTTATACCTCGTCAAATGATTACATAATTTCCAAGAAGTACATAGGAACATAAAATTTAATAACATGATCCATTTAGAAAATGAATCTTTAAGTTAAGGGAAATAAGATTATAAAGGTCTGGTCATGCTGATAAAGTTGAGGGAATATTTTTTTTAAGCACAAATTTTACAATGTAAGAATACTAATTATCGTGCATTTCTCCATATTAAGATTACTAAATCAAAGAAGAGTTAAGCAGCAATTAAAATACTAAACTCTAACATGACAAAGTACATAATGAGCTTCTAAGTTCACATATAGGCTACTTTCCAGATAAATTGCAGTTAGGAGCCATGGCTCTATGTGCAAACGAACACCATTTGAATCTGGTCAAGTATAATGTACCTTATATAGCTTAACAGGTATTTCTATGAAGAGAAACTTTCTACAAGGATAAAAGGTAAAAATAATTGTTTGTTTCTTCCGTAAAGTCACTGCTTGAGTTTTACAATATGCTTTTCAAGTTGCAACAGTATGTTGAAATACTTCAAGATGAAGAATAAGAAGACCTGGTGGTGAGGTATCATGATCACATGTATAAACCCGAATTCCACCCTGCACAATCAGAAGGTCAAATTCAAACACAATGGCTCACAAATAACCTCATAAAAACAAAAGATAATACTTCAATTTTACAGCAAGAGGTCCTAACAATTGGAGGGAAAATCATTTTCTATTCCAAAAACAAAAATATCATTATGGCAATGACAAAAAAATCACTAGCTAGTTACTTCAGAAGAAAGAATGTTTATCAGACCAACAAGGTTTTCTCTTTGTAGTGAATCAAAGAGAAATCTAAACAAAGAAGCCAAGACAGAGCAAATAGTGAATCAAAATTAAAACAAAAACTCCTATACTATCTAAAATGGAACTCGAATTCTCTTTGTAGTACACTAATTTTGACATTTCACACATGAAATCTAAAAGCACACATTACAAGTATTAACATTAGCAAGTTTAAGTTCAAATTCCAAAAGAATCCCTTAAAAGTATGAGACAATGGGAACAAGGGAAGAAAAGAAAAAGAGACGAATATAAAACCATCCACACGATAAATATGAAACAAAAAGGGGGTCTTGCATAAAAACCTAGAGTCATAAATTCCTTACTTTCCGCCTGTGCTTCCATAAAAGATGGAAGAATGTTCTATAGATCGAAAACATCACATCACATGTCTAAGCAACAAAGCATTTTGAAAGTAAGCACCGGAACTAGATTCAAATTCGTAAATCTGAAGAAAAAGAAAAGAAAGGTGGAGAGAGAAAGTGAATTTATACCGGATTGGAAGAGATGACGGTGGAAGAGAAGAGGCCCCGAGAGGGAAGATTGGCGAGGAATGGAGAAGGTCCAGAAGAAGGGTTTGCATCCATTACCATAAGAGCGATTAAAATTAAAGAAAAAGAAAAGAAAAAGTGTTGGCAAACGCAGCCACTCGAGTGGAGGAAGTTTCAGACTTGAAAAGTGTTCGCTCGCGCAAAAAGACGCCAACGTTGTGACGCTTTGTATATATATATGGGGGAAGAAGAAAGTACGGGGGTTCCTTCACAAAAAAAAAAAGGGACAGGGAAGGGAAGGGAAGTGGACCTAGTAGTGTTTGTGGACTCTTCCTTTGACAGGGGATCCGATTATGTTATGCAGTTTTGTCCATCCTGATTACGGTATATATATATATATATAGGGATAGGTTATCGTGCCTACTCTATTTTACCTACTTTTGCCTACCCTTTTGTTACCGTTCGATTACCATCTCATCCAACAATCCATATTTATGATATAAAATAAACCTTTTTTTTCTCTTTCTTTCTTCTCACTTTCTCTCATACCCTTTCTCTCTCATCCCCTTTCTCTCTTCCAATGCCATATACCTATTTTTTTCCCTTTATCGTTAATCTCTGCCCAGTGAACGGCGTGGAAGCATTTGAAATCAATTACCACAACATTTGAAATCATCGTCAATATACATTAGTCTCTGTTTTTATTATTGTAATATAAATTTTCTCCTTCTGAATCAGTTTCTATCAAATTACCAGTGTCAATGGATTGAAAATTCACAACAAATTTTTAGATCTAAAGAACAACATAAATTTTATAAATTAATAAGATTGAATCGATTACTAACAAAGAAGTTTTAATGTGATTCAAAAGATCTGTGCAGAGTTGGAAAAGATTCAAAATAAATAAAAAAATTAAAGAATAAAAAAAATTGATATTGGAAAAATCCGGAAAGAGGATTAATTGGTGCCATTCCAGCAATTATGTTGATACGGATAGCCAATTAATTATTAGAAATTAAGAGTATCTATCATGTGGAAGAACAGATCGACATATTGAAGCAGAGACCAGGAGGATTCTGTGAACAGATCGACCTTGTGGCACCACCGCTTTGAATCACATCAAAACTTCTTTGTTAGTCATCGATTCAATCGTATTAATTTATAAGGATTAAAAATATCATTAGAATCGAACAGTTTGTCAGGAGATTGAGGTCCACGGCGGCAGAAGTGAAAAAAAATTAGGTATATGGCAGAGGAAGAGAGAAAGGGTATGGAAGAAAGTGAGAAGAAAGAAAGGGAAAAAAAGGTTTATTTTATATCACAAATATGAATCGTTGGATGAGATGGTAATCGAACGGTAACAAAAGGGGTAGGCAAAAGTAGGTAAAATAGGAGTAGGCATAATAACCTATCCCTATATATATATATACATATACATATATATATATATATATATATATATATATAGGGGTTTACATTTATGCATCTGTTGTACGTGCATCAATCAAATATTTGCCATATATATACTTGAATAGCATTAAATGTGAGGAATCATAACCATACAAAGGATGAAAGCATTAAATGTGGGGAATCATAATCATACACTTGTCGTTGTTGTACGTAAAGCGGCTGCAAAAATGATTTTACCATATATATATATAGATATAGGTTAAATTTATCTCATTTTAAATAAGAGAAATAAATTTCTTACAAACATAAAATAGGGTGGGTCTCACCTCTTCTTTTTCTCTCTTCTCTTGTTTGTGGGTCTCACTTATAATTTTGTTTCTACAACATAAGAAAAATATTATTCTATATCTATGTATATAGGGTTCGTTTTTTCCACAGTAAATGTAGATAACTTATCTATAGTGAGCCCAAAACGACGTCGTTTTGAGACGAAAATCAAGGTATTTTTGTAATTATAATTTATTTCAGAGTTGTAATAGTCTTTTTCATTATAATTTTTTAATTTTTCAACCCAAAACGACGTCATTTTGAGAGCAAATGTAGATAACTTATCTACATTCACTTTAGAAACATTAAAGCCATATATATATAGTAATACTTTTCTTATATTGTATACGAAAAATATTATCTTTGTATTTTTTATATAAGTCCTACAAGAAATTTTTCTTTTATCTCTAACTTTTTTTCTCTCCTATTTATTATTTAGGTAGGAGATAATACTTCTCTCTCCTATATATATTACATTGATTATGGTATGTTTTCGTAACAAAATCTTTAGGAAAAACAATATTGGTTTTTAAATTGGCGCTTTTATTTTTTTAAGAATTTGTGTTTATTCTTTTAAAAGACATAAAATTATATTATTTTAATAAAAAATATTATATTTTATGGTGAGAGAAACAAAAATAATGTCATGAGAAAATGAGAGATTTTTTTTAATTTAAATATAATATAAATATAAATAATAATATTTTTTTATTAAAATAACTATACTTTAAAATGATAAAAAATTTTTTGTCATGCTACACTAAAAAGTGGCGCTTTATGTTTTTGTTTCAAATGAATTTGCTGAACTCTTTCAACATTTTATTTTATTTTTCCTTTTTTTTTCTTGTTTGCTGATCATATGTTGTTAGGTTAAATTTTGTTTCTTTAATAATAATATTAGTAGGGAAATGATAAGAGGATTAACGTCAAGGGATTGAAGAGTTAGGATAGACTATCCCCTCCTCCCAAATTTCAAATTTAAATTAGTATGTAATTTTATTTTGATGATTAATTTTCAAAATATATAATTTCATATATTTTCACAAATATATATATGTATATATATAGGGGCAGGTTCTTTTTACACCAGTGTAAGACTAATAAGTCTTACATCACATCTCACCCATTAATGGACGGAAATCATCGGTTGGTATTTGTAGTGTAATTAATGATTAATTAATATTAATTAATTCGTATGACTTCCTAAATTATAATCGTTGGATGCACGAAAATCAATAGTTGAGATGTGGTGTAAGACTAATAGTTTAAAATGATCCTGATCCATATATATATATATATATATATATATATATATATTTCTTAGTTCGACTAACATGGATTAATTGGAGTAGGTATTTTTAATTAACAGAAATATCAAGTATTTTTTTTTTGATAAACGAAATATCAAGTATTTTAAATAATATATAAAATATAAAAATATTAATAAGGAGAAACAAAGACTAGATAGAAGTATTTTAAAAGTGTATTCCATGGTATCAATTTTTTTATTTGTTCTATAAATACTTTCATTAATTTATGTAAAAAGGTATTTTTTTAAATTATAACAACAATTTGAACTAAATTAAATAATTTTAATGTAAAAAAACTTTAGAATATCATTGTATTTTAAGAAAGATATCACATCTTTTATTGTTAGAGATAAAATAATATCTACTAATAATCATTGGTTCAACTTATATAGAGCTTGTTTCGCTTTAACAATAGATCTTCAATTTGAACCTAGGAATGGAGAAAATGATTGCGAGAAAAACTACCTTTTATAAGGTTTAAGAAATACTTGGCCTTTGGTTGAAGATAAATTTTAAGAATACTAGAGAAATGTAATTACTAGGTATTCATAGGGAAAGTTGAATAGATGGGGAAGTTAAAAAAAGTAGTTTGGTTTGACAAAATTTTACCAGGAAAATATATGATAAAAAATGTGTCAACAGTGCTTTACCTGGGTTTTCTCAAAAAACTATCCTCAAATCGAGTTTCTAAACAGTGCAAATTACTATCTTTCTCAAAAAACCATGCATTTCACATAGATGGATTTTGGTAAAAAGCTGTTGAACCAAACATTGATTTTCTAAAAAATAAACTTCATTTACCTAGAAAAATCTCAAAAAGCATGAAAACAAACGCCCCCGAATAGTATTAGTTGGGTTTTCGATGAACTTGGGGAAATTAGTCCAGCAAACGAGAATGTAAGGCCACATGTTTTGTGGTAGAAGGAAGATTTCGTTTGATCCCCACAAATCCACCGTTAGAAGCCCAACCATGCAATGTCATCCCAGACTTCATTCAACGTGTCGCCACTCTCGTACTTCTCATCAGCCTCTCTTTGTTTTGTCTGAGCGATGACATCTAAAATCAGAGGTACTTTCCTTTCCTAGGTCATATATGAACCTTCTCTCATGGCTTCCATCCTAGGGAACAATGAAGCTTTGTAGTGTCTTTTTGTTCAGGTGGAGGTAGTCCTTGCAAAATCTTCCACTACGGTCCGAGTCCCGAACTCGCATACCTTCGACGAAAACATGTTCCTTTATATCACTAGTCACGAGCTGAATGGAAAAAAATTTCTCCAATGATCTCAATTTATCAAGTTAGTCATTCGAGGAAGGGGTAAGACCGGCAATCTCATTGGGAAGATGAAAGAACTCACTAAGCATGACCCAACATACTAGGAATGGAGATCAAAAACTTTATTGTCATAGCTTGAGTGATTAATTTCATGGAATTACATATTAATTATACTTACCTATGTCTTTCAAGTCTAAAAAAATAAACTCAAGGACTCGTGTTAACAGAATATGTTGAGTGTTATAATTAATGAATTGCAAAATTTATGGCATGAACTATATCTCCTTTTATGGAGATGATATTGGAGAATTAAAGACTGATGCAAAGTTCAAAAAGTACTTGTAGAAGGAGAAACTATGAGTTCTTGGTCAGCCGCAACCTAGTCCTTTATGAGATATTAGGACAATAACCATTATCTCCTCTTGATGAGGCCTTTGCCGAAATCCTGAGAAAAGCCATTAGGTGGCGAGTCATGCTGGAGGAGAAAGTTTCAACTAATGTGAAGAAAACAACTCACATGTTAGCTTTAGTTGTCAAGGGAACCCGTAATCATGCTTCCGGATATAAAAAAGGGATGATCAATCTTGATGCACTCACTGCAATAAAGCTAGTCCACTTGTGTCATTTGTTGAGACATTCACGAACAACTAGGAAATTGGAAGCCCAAAGGAAAAAACAAAAATCGTGGATATCAGGGCTCAAATGAGGACAAGACAAAAGATAGTCGTGTCTCACGGTGAATTAGGTGGAGTCTTCCTCAGTCAGGACCTTAGTTGTGTCTCCCGGTGAACCAAGTGGAATCTTCTTGAGTAAAGACCAATTTTAATAGTTCCATAAACTTTTGAGTCAGTTTACTAGTATCCAACTTAGCATGACAATTAGCAATATTGTGGCTTAATAAGGTACTATCTTTCACGTAAACAATAGTTCTTTCTAGATACTTGAATATGGGACCTCTAACCACATGACATGTAATTTGACATTATTTCGCTCCTATGTCATGGATATTCGTGGGTCAAAATAACATATGGATTTTTTTTTGAATTGTTGGGAAAGAGTCAATCAAACTCTCAGAGAAAATTATGTTAAATTATGTGTCT